TTATCTTTGGTATTAATAATTATTTCTTGTGTGCATACATCAATTATGTGCACGGCAGGTTATTAGCTCAAAATGAACAGAATTAAATTATAAAGTTGGACTATACACTAAGTAGAACAAATAAGTATATATATTTTGGGTGATCATATTGCTCCGTGATCCTTGAAATTTTATCTGAGACATGATTTTTAAAATGCCTTTTAACTGTTGTCTCCCTGTTACCTTTCTTTGCTTTGGAACCATCTGATATTTAAAGAAATATTAATATTGTAATGAAACTGTTACCTTGTGCCTAGGTTTTAAGAAGTGCAACAACTCATGGTCTAAAGTGGACTCAGGTGGTTGCTTGCTGTATTTATACACTTAAAAAAAAACTCTGCTCAGCACACAGCAATCAGGAATAGGGCATAGTCTGGTTGACAAGGCAAGGATTGGATTGGATATACTATAGGAATAGAGAAACAAGAAAGAGAAGAACCAATAAAAACAGGCATGCAGGGATAAGGTGTAATAGTGGTACATGCTGGATATTGTCAATCTTGGTTGTAAAATAAAATATAAAAAACTGTTGTAAAGTTGGGATGAGGAAGGTAATGTAATTGGGACAGTTGATGGAAAAAAACGGGTATCTAGGTTATTCACAATGATATGGGAGAAGTAGTTTGATCTAGATGATTCCATTGCATCCTTGTACTCATTCAAGTACTTCATCTAAGACTGTAGATGTACACTCAAACCAAAAGATGCCACCCATGTTCTAGTTTGAGGAAGGCTACCTTCATTTAATATTAATATAGTGGAATAAAGGAATTGTAGAATTGTATGAATAACAGTACAAGTATGTAAAGGATGGGATCTCATATCTCTAAATAAACACGAAGTAAAAACTGTTGTTTAAGCTGTTAGAAGGAATCTAAAATCAACTTTTAAAACAGGAAAAGTTAATCAATGGCATTTGTAAAAATAGGACAATATGACCACACAAGATATTTGTGTGCAAAATGCTTTTTTTAATAATGTTTTACTATTCAGAATTACAGAGAATTGCTATCTCAGAAATATTCTTTTAGATTCATCATTTCTTTTAGGATAAATGTATAAGTATACGATGCTTATTTGCATGTACCTGTTTGTATGATGGAATGAAGATGATGACTAGACAAGTCACAAAAGCAAGCAATCTCACACTACAGAACAATGCTGTAACTGAAGTTCACATTTCCATATTTTAGGAAGGTTGTAACGGAAACATTTAAAAAGATTTGGCCAAGCATTTTTTTAAGTGTGTAAATACAGCAATTTTTTTTTACAAAATTATTTTGTAATTTAACAATTGTGAAATGCAGTGAAAATAAAAAAAAATAAAATAAAATAATGTATCCAACAAGCTATTATGTACCTAAACATAACCACTGTATACAAATTCAGAATCGAAAAACGAGTGAATGTTACTTTGGCATACAATCTGCACAGCTATACAAGTGTCTGGGCCATGTACAGTAGCTGGAGACTTATTATTTTGCTGGCAGCTATCTTTCTGATACTTAATGCAGTTCAGACAATAATTGTCTTAATGCAAGTTTTGCTAAGATGATTTACTTCGGCTTTAATTACTTTAATTAATTACCAAAAATACTAAAGTTAAAAAATAAAATGTATTTTCTGTGTAGAAGTCAATCGAGTGAAAGGTGAATTCGACCATATTGAACGTTGTGTGAGGATTAGATACAGTACATACATACAAAAAGAAGATAATGGGATTTGAACAATACAAAATGCATTGGAATTTCAAATCTCATGGCGTGCTGGAAAATGAAAATGCTAGATTTGAAATTATTCTGATTGGCCAGAATCTCCTTCTGAATACCAAAATGAAAAATCCTGTCACAGATGTGCAGAAAAAAACAACAGGATAATTTTCTTCTCAGGGGAATACTTTAAAATGTTCACTATGACACTACAGGAATGCAGTCTGGAAAGCTGTCAAGAATTCATTCAATGAAAAGAAGGGTTTTGACTTGATGACACTGGCTAACAGGGAGACAAGGTGTGAACTCTGGATACTTATTGACAGGGCTCAAAAAGAGGAAAAGTATGAACATTTGTGAATGGAACCACTCTCATCCTTGTGGAATAAAAACCTCACAAAAATATATGGTATACAAGTTTTTTAATTATGTCAGTTGAATAACTATGATATATTCTCTGTAGGTACAGTATGTTGTATATATTTAGTTGTTGAATAGCTCCAGTCTAAACTGATACAGTATGTGTATACTATAATTTCTGAAGAAAGTAACTTTCTTTTTTCCATACCATTTTTAAACTTAACTTATTCACTGCGCAGTGGTTTTGGAATATTATAACTTTTATCTGCCCATGCAAGATGGCCACCAACATTCCTAAAGATTCTAACCTGCATAAATACTGTAGCTGCTTTCTTCTTTCCCAGTCTTTTCCCTGTTGACATATTGTCACTAACCTGGTCTCATAATGATTACACCCATGTTGAATACATACCTATATTGCAATTTCTTATTTTTTTTATTTTTGCATACATGACTTAAAGCTATCTTAGAAGTAGTAATGATTATTATTATTTTATGTTTACATTCCTTAGTGCGCTGAACAAACAGGATATGGGCAAAACAGGATACTGGCAAAAATCCATACTACAAAACAAAAACCTGATAACCACTGGTCTGTGTCAGCATTCTCTTGTGGTCAGAAGATGAGCAGGTTTCTTCTTACTATTGTGAAAACCATTACTATTCTTACAGTTTATTTCACAAAATAAACTACTTTTTAAGAAAACTGTTCATACACACTTGTGTAAGGGTACTGTTTGTATTATGAATGTAAAAGGTATTTAAGAGACACACCATTTGTGGTAACCAGGGCAGAGTATCTGATATAAAATGCAAGTACAAAATCCTATTACTTTAGTGCAGAGCTCAAAGTCGGTGCACTTTTTGTTAATTCTCTAATCCCTGCTCAAGTAGTTTGTTTTCAGCATTCTTCATGTACTACAAACAAATGGGCACCTTGTTTTAAATGTGGAACTGTTTTTCCACAATTTTATTTACTATTTAGTATGTATGTTGGTTTCCAAAATGTTGCTAGAGGCTTTGAAGGATGAAATTAACACCACTGCACTTACACATTATTGAGGTGCCTGGAGCAACTATGTGGTCCTAGTATCAGAAATGCAGAAATGTGAAACACAGTCTGGTTCTGTGCTTACTTTTGGGGTTTAAACAATATTATCAGATTTAACAGCAATGTATAGATTCCACAGAGGATTAGTAGGTTACTGGCAGATACCTTAAAAATAAACATGTATTTATAAATATTTGTTTGTATTGTAATCTGACTGTTAAATTTCCTCATGCCATCACTACAATACCAAAAAAAAGTGTAACCCAAGATTACAGACCATGAAGCAGAAACCAGTTCTCTGACAGTCTACTTCCATAGCCCCATTTTGTGGCCTAAAAGGAATTGTTTCCCTGTGTACTAATTCACACTGGTGTGAAAACAGTTACCATTATTATAATACTTATAATATAATACTTCTTTTGAAAGTCTGCACAGTTTTGGAACAGTAGATCGTTGTGGAGATCTGTAGTACTGTGAACTGAATGAAACAGGATTGCTTTTAACAGACACCATTTGTGGTAGTAACAAGTGGAGCACCAGGTATAAGAGGCCAATTCCAAACTTATTACCTTAGTTCTTTCCCAGACTAACCCCTCAAGATTTTTTTTTTACATCCAGGAAGCACTTCCTACTTTTTTACCACCTTTAGTCTTTGCTCAAGTGTTTAATACTGCCTGCATCTGGATTTGACAGTGGAAATGTTAAAATTGGTTTATTGATCTTAACAGATCATTCTGGAGTAGCTCCATGTAGGATAGCCTATCAATAAATTTAAGTTCCATTACAAAGCTTGTTTTCTCAGTTTCTCAGTCTTTTCTCTAAAGAAATAACCAAACTACAAATCTACAGTAACTCCTATCGGAGTCCTTGAACTAATTCCAAACCTCTAAATAATAATAGTTTAACTATAGTGTTTTTTTCACTTCCCTCTAAAGTTCTTCCCTCTTCTTCTCAAAGAGCCCCTTCTCCTCTTTCCTTTCCGGTTTATACCAGCCGGCTCTCATCGCTTTTGTCAACAAGTGTACTCAATTGAGGCCTGTCAGTCTCAGTTTTACTGAGAAACTACACCTGATTCTTTTCAAGCCCTGGATTGGCTTCTCCTTTCAGAAGCCTCCCAGGGACACCTCAGATGAACCCTCCAGTTGGGAATGTAGATTCCCTAACACAACACTGAAATAACTCTGGACTGTTCTGGAGCTGTTCACAGCCAGCTATTGTCTCTTCCCTTAAGAACAGGGAAATATCAACTCTGCTAATAAAACATATCCATACCAGCATGGTTAGTGCTGTTATATGAACTGTTGCTAAGATTTTGTACTTTCATATGCAGTGCAAAACCATTGTACTGTATGTATTGCAGTGTATTTTTAAAAAATATTTGCCATTTTTAATGTAAGGAAGATAAAAAAATAAATTTAAGTATGATTATTATTGTTGTTGTTGTTGTTGATGTGCATTTCTTCATTGTAGATTTTTCTGAGGTGGTAGAACAAATACTGACTTTTTAAAACCCTTGGGTGCACCATAAAAATAGGAATATGTAATTTTTCAAACGTATTTTTAAATACCTAATATCAACTACCAAATAAATGTGTGCTATTATCAGTTTTAACATTCGAGAGATTAAATCTTAACCTCTTTGTGTGCTGCACAGTAAAGTTTCCAAATTTATGCTTAAGTATATCTTTTTATTTTAAAGCCAGTACCAGTTTTAAAAGTTGCAAATACAGCATAATTAATTTAATAAAAACACTCCCCACTAGGATAGAATACTTTAAGTTTATAATAGGAGCTTATTTTAAACTGCCATGTGTTGATCTGTTGCTTGTTTCCTCTAACAGTGAACAGGTATTAGAGGAATGTAACCCTGGTTCTCCTCCAAGAGAGCTGATCTCAACCACCAGACATGACTATAAAATGGAGGGCTTTAAATCTGTGCCACCATCCCCCTCCAAGGTAAGAGCTTGTGGAAATAGCATCTAATTACTTACTTTTATGGTACAGTCCATGCTTAAAATAAATTATAAAGGCCTTTAAATGCTGATAAAAGAGGCAAGAAAAATGAAATTGAGTTTCACAAAGTGATGAAACCTTATCTTTATAAAATGTCTTTGAAATGTTAGTCTCCTGTGTCCTGTTTTTCTTTTTTTTTCATGTACAATATTTCAAGCACTGTGCTGCTTACAGATAAATAATTCAATACAAGGCAATAAGAAGTAAAAATAGATGTTTGAAGTTGTGTTGTGAAAATTAGTTATTCAAAAACATACAATTGTCAACAGTCAATGTCTTAGTGTATATTTGCTATTTCATGCAAATATCTTACTCAATTTAAATGTAAATTGAATATATTGTAACATTCAGCTAGTAACCTGAAAGTCAAAGAAGATGGTAATGTATTTAGTTTTTGTTTTCATTTTTGTTTCTGAAAGGCAAAGGAGCTGTCAGTTATAGTTTCCATTTCAAAAGTGTTTCACAATATATCTAAGCCTATACTACCACAAACCCTAGACATGTTTGTGTACAAAGGCATGTACACTGTCAAAATTTGCAGAGAGAAGGAATTGATTTAGAAAGAGATGACATCCCAGTCCCAAATTTAATAGCTTTTATTTTTTGTCAGTAAGGTACTAGAGAGAAGTGTATGTGTTTTGTCTTCAAATTTCAAATAACAAAGAGATTTTAGGGAGGGAAATTAAAAACAAAAATATGATAATATGTTTGAATGATTAAATTTTACTCATAGTTCACACTGCTATACAAGCCTGCTTTCAGAGTTGAAATTAAATCTTTTTCATGTTTATAGTATGAATATTATTATATAATTTTAGCTTTCCCTTTTAAGAATGCTTGTTTACGTTCATTTCTAGGATGGTATTTTAAATCCAAAATGGAATATAAAAAGTGAATGTGTTAAATCTACTATTTGTGATAATGAAAATAATTACATTAGTACTTTACATGTATAATGTGAATTAAAGAATCATTATTTAAGGACATTTTTATCTTATCTTTTTACAGAAACATGACTTAAAATCTGAACAGGCAATAACGTATTGGAGCGAAAATTACCAAAAGTTACAAGTAAGTTCTTAAAATAATTCAAACTATTTCAAATGGGTTGTATAAATTCAATAAAAACATTGTTTTTTCTCACAGGTTATATATAACCCCTTTTACTTCATCTTTAGAATTTTGTTTTTAATAAGGACAAATTGAAAAATGTAAATAGGAAACATTTTAGTAATATATAAAAATATATTGATAAAACATGTCTCAAAGCATATCAGTATCCAAAGAAGAACTGCAGCACTGGAGAAAATGGTGAGACAAGGCAGGAAAAGAGTGTGTTGTTGTGCTGCAGGAGAAAATAATGAGGTCAAGCAGGAGCAGAAAATAAGTTTTAAATAACTTTAAAATGATGTGGTATTTAATGTATCAGAATTTTAAAAACCCAACAGACTTCTGACTTAGAATTAGGTGGGAGGAAAAATAAAGGTTGTCAGGAGTGACTAAATAAAATCATCAAAAAGGGTGAAGAAACTTTTTTTTGTTACAGAGCTTATATTTTTGTCAGTTTATTTCTACAAAAAGAGTTTGGAAAGATATTGAGTGTTGCAAGTAGAAAATAATGTGGGGGATCAGCTACAGCAATGTGGTATGAAGGTCACCATACACATGACATCTTGCCATTGATTTACTGGCAGTTGTTTCTTGCCTGCAACTGTAAACCATACATGCTGTAAAAGATGATGGCAGATACCATCCAGGTACTGACCAGGCTCACACCTGCTTAGTTTCAGTGGGTTGCCAGTTGTGAGTTGTAGGGTGATATGGCTGCTGGCTATATTAGTGTTCACAACTTTATTTCATCCCACTGAAGGACATAAAATGACACCTTATAATGAAAGTATTGTCAAATTATTGTTTTTTAAATGACCTTTTGATGCTTTTTGCTAAGCGACTTCAGGGGCGGGGTTAACAAAGAAGTACTTTATGCTCACTTATACAATGACCCATTAAGAGAGGTTTTGGGAAACACTCAAAAAAGTAGCATGTACGTTACATATGTACATCATAAAGTTGCTCATCTCTAAGATTAATCGTTTTTGGGAAACTCACCCTGGTTCAATTCTCCAGAGCCATTGTAGGAGGGTTGAGTGATGTCACAACCCTGAAAGACAAAGGTGCTAAACTCGGAAACAAAAGAAGCACAAACTCTATTTTTCATTGTTTGTGCTGTTTGTAGGGGGGGCAATTTCACGGAGCTATCTTTAGGCCCCTTCACATACATTGTAAACTTCTCTCTCTTCTCGATCACTTGAATTATGCATATCATTCTACAGGGATGCTCTTACTGTACAGTTAACTGTCTTTCTTACAGTTAATAGACAGTTCTCCTCACATGAGCTAATTTTCAATAAATCAGTGAATCAATTCAATATTTTTACATGTATCATTTCAGACAGTCACAGGAGTTGTATAAGTATATAGGGTCTAATATTTTTATGTCTTATTAATTTTGTCTGTTTAGGAAAACATGCAGCTTGACCAGTTGATTGTATGGAACATACTATAGTCTGAAATAAATCAGAAATTAGTATTTCAAGTATAGAACTGTACCTCTTAAAGGGATGCAGATGTTTAACTATTACGCAAATTGTCACTTAACTGTTTTGAAAACTTTCACTGTTTTAAAGCGCGCATATGGAGATCATTACACTTGGAAATTCTGTATTTGAAATTCAAATATCACAAAATTGCACTGTGTAGAAAATGGGAAGCACGGCTAATGTCAAAGTTGTCATCTCATTCTGAAATACTTTGTATTGCCATACAAATGCAGGCAGCATTGTTAAGCTTAACTGTATCATTAAATACATTAGCGTATCATTATTGTCTGGTGTAAAACATATGTATTTCAAAACTGTTCCAAAAATATTTTTAATCCCTTTCTTGTTAAATATTTTTTTCTTTAAATAAGATTGTTTAATGGGTGGCTAATTACACTATAAGCAAAGACAAAGTTACAAATGTTTTGAAAAGCAAAAAATCGCTATTTTGTCATTAAATCTGTAATTGATTATTTCCAGGGCCTGTCTACAGTGTCTGATTGAACATAAATTATTGTTAAAAAACAGTGTATTTACTGATTTACTAGTGCCAACTGGTTTCTCTGGCAAAATATTATCCCCAGATGTACTGTTTTCATAGAACAAAAATGAATGCATGGAGATGATTTGCAATTGTGAGGTATCTTTCTTATTCCAGTGTTTTACAAATTTTTAAACCAGAAATAGTTATGTGTTAAGGAGAGTCAAGAAACACACTAAGCCCATGGTGTGAAGGAGGAAAGGTACAATAAGTTTTCACCTCTATTACTTCTTTATCTTTTTTCCTATCAGGATACTTGTGACAAGTCAATTTAAATACTTGCTGCAGATTTTGTAAGAATAATGTCTTATATGAAGTTTGATATTTCTTTTTAAAAATAGATTTTCTGCAAGTATAATACATATGTGTGTGTTGTATAAATATGTTGCAAGGCTATTAGGTTATTTTTGTTTTCCACCAGCTAATATTTATAAATACATATTTAAATATTTTTTAATATGTTTAGTATATTTTCTCTGAATTCCACACATCTTTGAAATAATCCTTCAAATGTAATAGTGAAAACTGTTTTGTCCTGTAGCTGAGTTAAGTTTTAATCCATAATTGGACATTTTTTAAATGTTGTTTTTTTATTAAACTGAGCTGTTTATAATTAAGTGTATTGGCGCAAAGGTATTAGTTGTTAATGAGTGTTACATTTGTGCCACCAGTGAAATTAACAACTGGAGTATAGGATGAATAGTATGGACAAGCGTGCCTATTGAAATCCAGCTAAACTGTACTGAAAGTCACAAGAAAACTGTAGAAAATATAGACCAAAAGGGCAGAGAACATCTTGTGATGTGCTGTCAGCACTGGATGGATCCACGTTTCTTGTCAGAAATTCACAGGACTGGGTATTAAAGGAAATAAGACAATATTAAAGGAAAATCAATTTTCGCTTTTCGGAATTTTCGGAATTTAGATTACTTTACGGAGATGAATAATTTGAATAATTGAAATGTGAGCTTATTGAGACCCAGAAAGAAATTGATAATTCTGAAAAATACAAGCTTCAGAAATACATGAAGTGGTAATGATGTCAGCTCCTCAGGTGTTTATGACATTTTAAACAATCATTTCCTTTCCGTATTGAAGAGGTTGTTGGCGGGGATGAGGACAGAGAAGAAATAGTAGCCAACGTGGCCAGTTCCCTGCAGAT